TCGCAGTTATTCTTAGTTACTGCATAATCGAGGCAAATGTTACTTAACAATAGTGCTTATTATAGACGTGGGAAACATTCAGAACAAAGTGAGGCATAATATGGAACCGGATGTCCGTAAATGTAATATTCTATTCGTTCCCACAATAATGTAAATACAAAATGAATCATACAATCACCTCGTTTGAAGTTATACCAGCGAATTATCCGCGTTATTAAGCGTCCTTCAATATTTTCATTACCGGTTAATTTATTTCTTCGCCGAGCCTCAAAGATACTGGGGAAGCTTTTTTCTTTAATACAGTTTGTTTTCGTTGTAAAGCACGTAATGGTTTTATATCTTCTAAGAGTCAAGTTTTATCTCAGTAATAATGGGTGATGTAAGTTTCCGTGGACAATCGAACTTCGATGCGATGGTAAAAGGGAATAAGTACTTAAGGATCACTTCACATCAAAAATGTCATTCACAAGGCTGTGTTTTTATTATTGCTATTACTTTTTAATTACAAAATACAATTTTATTGTGCATTGTATTCTTATCCGTCTTCGTAGTAACAATCTATTATGTACGTCGTCGCATGTTTGCGAATCATTATTGCGATGCATTTCCACTTGGCCCAATTTAGAAAGAGTACGTGTAAAAATTCCCCCTATCGACTGAAAACATCAACTGAGAGCTGCGGTAGCTCAAAGGCAACATGTTTGCATTTGCAGTATCGTTGACAGAGAAGTTGTAGGGGTCGAGTCCCGTCGTTTGCTGGTTTTCAACACAGAAATAATATGTTAATTTTATGTCGCAGCAACCACTTCAGTTATTAGCGACCTCATTCTCAGGTACATTTACAATACAACACATTTGCAATCACATTACACATACATTACCCTTACAGTATATTCTTGGTTTTAATTCGCGCAATACATTAATCTCCGATTGCGGTTAGTTCTTTATTAAAATAACAGCAGAATGTTATTCTGAACGCAATTTCATTAGTTTGACTGTACAGGTTGATTTCTTTCAGTATTTTCAACACTGCCGGATCGTATACAACCGGTGTGTAGAGGAGAAATTTATCGACCCGCTACTTCGATCAGTAGATATCCGTGGATTCTCCTGTCGACAGCAGACGAATTACGGGCGGAACCCCAACCAACGGGCCATGGGGCCGCGTGTGATCTGTCCTGACTCGTGTAAGTCCCTTCCATTCTCTTCCGATCACCTCGGCATGAACGTCCTGGCTTTGGAAACCAAAGCGCACGCCGCTCGCCTCGACATGCCCCTCGCGCGTCACCACGAGGATCCGGTGACATCACCGCGTGCCAGGTCGTCTCCTGGACGCCGCCGAGAAGGACGGGGGAGCGTGCTCTTTGACGACCAGGTGGTGCAGCAGGGGAGAGACCTTGCCGTCTGGTAGTCGCAAAAGGCCGCATTGCCGTAGTTATTGATGCGGCGGCCGCAGGGGCAGACTCGAAACCGTTTTTGAATCGAACCGAATCGAATCGAATCGAATCGAATCGAATCGAACCGAATCGAATCGAATCGAATCGAATCGAATCGAATCGAATCGAATCGAATCGAATCGAATCGAACCGAACCGAATCGAATCGAATCGAACCGAATCGAATCGAATCGAACCGAATCGAATCGAATCGAATCGAACCGAACCGAATCGAATCGAATCGAATCGAATCGAATCGAATCGAACCGAATCGAACCGAATCGAATCGAATCGAATCGAATCGAACCGAACCGAACCGAACCGAACCGAATTGAACCGAATTGAACCGAATTGAACCGAATTGAACCGAATTGAACCGAATTGAACCGAACGGAACCGAACCGAACCGAACCGAACCGAACCGAACCGAACCGAATCGAACTGAATCGAACTGAATCGAACTGAATCGAACTGAATCGAACTGAATCGAACTGAACCGAACTGAACCGAACTGAACCGAACTGAACCGAACTGAACCGAACTGAACCGAACTGGAACCGAACTGACGAACGAACGGACCGAACTGAACTGAACCGAACTGAACCCGACGAAATGAACCGATGAACCGAACTGAACCGAACTGAAACTGAACCGAACACGCTGAACCGAACTGAAACGACTGACAATGACCAACGAAACCATTGAAAACGAACTAACGAACTTGAACCGAACTGACGAACTACGAACGCCGAACTGAACCGAAACTGAACCGAACTGCACTGAACACGAACCTGAACCGAACTGACGAACTGCGAACTGCAAAAACGACGAACGAATGACCAACTGCCGAACTGAAGCCGAACTGGAACTAGCAACTGCGAACTGAATGACCATGACTGAACATGAACTGAACCGAACTGAACTGAACCGAACTGAACGAACTGAACTAAACTGTAAGCTGAATTTGAATTGAATTCGCCTTATTTTTACGGTGGGGAGAACTCGGGCATTCAGGCCGCTCTTCGTCGACGCACGCAATTTCCGCTACGCTCCTTTCATCAACTAGCAAGAAAGGAAGGTATTTCTTGGGCGAGAAACAGGAGATTTTGAATTTAGCTCAGGCGTCATTGTAGCTGAGGATCTTTAAACATGCAGTAAATCTACGAACATGGGACAGCCGGCTTTACTTCCCCTCCGAAGGAAGGCGTACGAAGGATTTTGTCGCCCTAAAAATCCGCGGCTTCGATCGGAGCTTGGGTATAACAGTTCGGTACGCTAACCGTCACACCATCGCCGCCGCTTTTAATATGAAAGTTCACATTCGGGCAAAGCCACAGGGCCCTGGCACATTTCCCTGTTGTGGCAGGAACCTTTGGCGAGTTGTACGGGGACCGACGCGACTCGTAAGAGATTCACCTCTGGCGATAAACTCAAAAACGAGAACGCATTGTCGCCTATTCCATTTCGGGTAGCGTCGCGTGCTACCACGCCCGCATCACCAGAGGGGACCGCGCCCTGGCCAGGCTGGGCGAACGAAGGCCGGTTCTCCCCGCCCTGGCGCAATGAAGGCAAAGCCCACTCGAGTGCACCGCCAACCACAAGAACACAATTCACAGTGCCTCTGATGGAGAATTGTTCGTGCGCTTCCACCGGGTAACAATCTGCTGCGTAACTGTTTCTATACAATTAGAGACTATACTCATTATCAAATAGAAAAATAATGTTTGTTTTAACAAAACATTGATATATATTCAATTAGTTTACATTTGTATGCTTTTTTTTAAATACTTAATGTTTGTAACAAATAATGTACTTCAGCTTCCGGGTCAATGACCCTCATCTCGGTCAGGGTTTTGTCCAATTTTCTTGGTCCTCTAGAAAATGCTGAGATGGCCCCTTGTTTTGGTGGTCATATATGTAACTTCAAATTAACTTCTTCCCATAGAACGTCACACACTGTTTTTAACTGTTTTGAAGTAAATAAATCTATCTAATCGGAAGAGCTGGCGAGGACAAACGAGCGTGTAACAGTGAGTGCCTATGCACACAAACAAATCGCGTGTGGTTCCAAGGACAGGCGTAAACTCTAAAAACTCAGATTAGTTTGTAATTAGCCAGAGCTTAGCTGAAACAAAAACATGTTTATTGAATAAGTTTAAGAACTAACCTCACAAATCGTTTGAGCGCAATTGCGAAATTTCGAGACTGTCACAGATAATCGAGTTTTCAAGGACTGTATCATACGTTATTTAACACGCTTGTTTCACCAAGAGCAATAATGTATACAAAACTCTGTTTATGTAAATGCTTACTACTTGAGAGAAATTGCTAAAAATGTATATTGCGTAATTCTTTAAAAAACAATACAATACGGCAAAATGGCGTTTATGACATAATTCAATGCGTTTAACAATATTTTTATCGTTTAAAGGAAAATGGAACGGTTTTCAGAACGGACACGATTTGGATCCATTTTTTGGAAAATTTGAAAATGTTCAAATGCGTTCTCGCAAAGAAAATTAAAGTACTCTCAAAAATTAATTTTACAAATTCAAAGGGTCGCTGCACCAGATGTAAAAGGAATTATGACTTTTTCTTCATCAAGCATTGATCCGTTGCGCACTCATTGGTACTTCCATCTTGTTTTTACTCGTCCAACAGACCAATTGCCTTGTGACTTTTGAAGTTCTGGAAGTAGCCATACTTTACGTGCTTGGCCTACGCTTCTATATTTTTTCATTTTTTTTAATTTAAATTAAATATCCCTAACCTGTATCTTACGTCTTCATTTCTTATTCCGTGTTGTCTTGTGAAGTCCAATATTGATTGAGGGATTTGTTATTCAGTACCCACGTTTCACTTCCATAGAGGCCAGTTAGCATAGCTAGTGTTTTATAAAATTTTAGGAGAGTGCCCTTGCCTTGTTTTTAGGGTACTTTTCATCGTACCACGTATATGATTAAAGCGCTCTACTTCCCTTTCTAAATCATCTGCAAAACCCTTTGCTCATAGCGTACAACAGTTTAGACAATTTAAGGTATTACTAAATAAATGAGGGAATTAGCTGACAATAGTAGGTTATAGAGCGATGCGTCAGTAATACATTGTAAAGTGAGGTGTGCACTGTAGAAGAGAGAAATAATGTAGGAAGTGATTAAAGGGTCATAGTGAAGTGTAGTGAAGTGCAGTTGAACAAAAATTCAGTGCGGAGTTTGATTATGATGTTTCTTTGTTTTTTAAGGTAATTTGTAAATGTTTAATAAATTACACAGTTTTATATCATTATTTTTATTATTAATGTTATTATTTTATTATTGTGTTATTATTATATAATTTGCATGTTACGTGTATTATTTTATTTAGCTGCCACCGGGTTATGACCATTTGCAGTTCAAATAAATTTATCTTTATCTTTTAACTTCCCCTGAGTGTGACATGTCACAGCCTAGAAGTTTAAAAACTCGAACTTGTTCATTGGTTTTAACATTTACTACCAGTTTACATCTTTCAGGAAACACCATGCACATGAGATTTCAAGTCGTTCTGCATCTCGTTGCGTTGGCAGAAGCAGCATGGCGTCCGCCTGGCAGCGCCCGGCCAGCGCGCCCCTGCCCACTGTGTACCGGCGCTGCACGGGCACGCGGCCCATGCCCGACGGCCGCACGCCCAACTTCTGGATCCAGGACATCACGCCTGACCAGGACGAGGACATCGTCGACTTCATGAGCCACAACTTCCTCGAGGTCAGCGCCGCCCTGGATTCTCCATTTTGCATACGGCTTTAGAAGTTATTTAAAATGTTGTTTAAAAAGAAGTAAGGTTCGGATAAAATGACAATGTAGTTGAAATTTGGTGGTTACTTGATGACACCTACGCCGTAATCTAGGGAACAGTGAATCAAAAGAGAGCGTAGGCTTTCGCGGCCGGAGTCAGGATTTCCTTGTCTGTCCGGGTGACGACGCGTCCATGGCGAAGGTGTCGATGTTTCGCTCGCCATTCTGCGACCTTCCTCAGGGTGTAATGCGTCCTCCAATAACAGCGAATCAAAAGCTTCAACATTTGCACATTGTCACCGAAAATTAGGGAACAAAAGTTATGAACAAACAAATATTACAAATATTACAAATGTTACGAACAAATGCAACAAATGTTAGGAACAAACTTGGTACGAGTTTCTCAACATCCCTCTCCTCTGTTTGCCTAGTTGGTGTTGAGAGTACGTGGTAGAGCGCGGAGTATGCGGCAATGCCACCCCCTCTTCACTCAATCACATTCTAATTTTATTCGCAATATACATACTACTGAAATTCAACAAAAACATATGACAACTTTATTTGGAACTATTTTATTACCACAATAATTAATTAAAAAATTTAAAAACTAGTGTAAATAAAGTGTAGTATATTATAGCTGTGTAGATGGCAGATATCGGTAGAGCAGAAGTGCCGTAGTGGTATCGTATCTGAAGACCGCGGGTTCGAGTCCCGCCTCGGGCATGGGTGTATTTGTGTATGTCTGTACGTGTGTGCCGCCTTTTCATCCCTCACCATCATCTTCATTTCATCGCCCATACCCCCAGGGATAACAACCTTGGGGGATAAAAATTGGAATTGAACTAAACTGCTGACCCCCCTCCCCCCAGAAAGGTACTTGCAGGATACAAACGTGGTCCAAGTTGACCTACACGCGAAAAAATCTAAAAAAGAGTCTACCGTCATCACATCTTAGTAACTTTCATAAAGGCTTTGTTGCGTCTCCAATCAGTTTAACGATAAGGATTCTTTGCTACCTTTTCCAGATATTTCAGCGATGGTACTCTGGGTTCATCACACCCAAGTCTTCTCCGGCCCACTATTTCGAACTTACTATTTATATGGTTGCATTTTCTAATAGTTTAAAATGAATGTATGAATAACAATCTCGTTTATTATTATTGTATTACTTTTAACTTTTTTGCAGCATAATTTCAGAACGTTTTAAACGCCCCTTTTCGTCTATTGTAGCTACAAGATAATCAAAAATAAATAATCTTCCTTCACCTTCCTATTTTAATATTACGTGTAGGGTGTACTATTAATCACTGAATTAGACGAAAACAGAGGTAAAAACACAGATTTATTAGAATTCCAAACGCGGAGATCATGTATTTATTACTTACCTCAAAGCAACATGGGCCTACGAAACTCCAAAAGAATCAGTAAAATTAAGTCTCTCACGGAGTAAGTTCCCAGTAAACGCAATAACAGGTGGAACGATTTAGTACCAAAAAGCTACTGAAAATCTGAAGAGCTTATAGAAATAATAACCGCTGAAAAATTAAAAAACGTGAAAAATTAAAAACTCTGGGTGCAGGTAACCCAGGGTAGCACAGGAAGGTTATTTGTTCTTGTAACCCTAAGATTTTTCATAGTAACCAGGAGCCCAGAGGTTACATGTGAAACCCGGAGACGTGGCTACTGTGGCGTCATACGGGTGTAATCGGAACACAGACGAGAGTGGTTTGTAAAACAATCTTGACCGTTGTCTCAATTAAACAACTACCCTGCATACAATAAACTAAATAAATAAACCCACTACAAGGAAAGATAATTTACGAACGGCTACCTCACATCAACATACTACCGATGTTCCCTGCGTGAAGCACCGCACTACCTCGAGACCATCTACGCGTCTCGCAAGTCACGACAATGAATTGCCGGCCCCTCGCCCTAGTGCACCTACACGCACAGACACGCGCTTCACCTGCCACCAACGCCGCCCGAACAAGAAGACTGGGGCATTATTCTCCTGGCCTTATATAGGCCCTTTGATGCTACCCGCCGTCCCCATTGCCTCCTCCCCAAAGCCGCTCTGGGCCCGCTACGTCCACGGAAAGTCCCACTGCGTCATCACTCCGCCCTTTGTTCAACATCCGGCGATGCCCGCCGAGTGCCACATGGTCAACTTCGTTTGTAACGCGACACGACGCAACACTACCCTACATTCGCGCTGGTACCTCAGTGGACTCTACGTCCGCGCTGGTATCGTTATGTACCCTACGTTTGCGCTGGTACCGTTATGCTCCCTACGTTCGCGCTGGTACCTCAGAGAACTCTATGTCCGCGCTGGTACCGTTATGCACCCTACGTTCGCCCTGTTACCGTTATGTACGCTACGCTCGCGCTGGTACCTCAGCGGACCCTACGTCCGCGCTGGTGCCGTTATGTACCCTAGGTTCGCGCCGTCGTCTGCCGCAGGAGGAGAACATGTGCAACCTGTCGGGCGTGCGCCACGACCCAGTGTCGCTGGAGGGCATCCGCGGCGTGTGGCGCCATATGCTGCAGCACCGCGCGGGGCTGGTGGCGCTCACGGACTGGCCCGACGGGCCGGACGCCCCGCGAATCGCCGGCTGCAACGTCACCTGCGTCACGCGCCGCGACGAGCACATGCTCGAGGTGAGGCCTTCAAATTACTTACGCGTTCCGAGTGGATTAAACGGCTTATTATTGTATTCCACTATACTTCCATCTACTTAAAACAGGTTTTGCGCCATTTTTAACGTAACAGTGCCGTTTGTGAAACTCGGAAGAAAACAAATAATATTACTACGTATTTGAAGTTTGTAAACATATTATAGAATTTTAACGATACTGCGGTGTTGTTTAGGCATAACGCAACCACAGAAACGAAAAGTGACTTAACGGCCGGCGACCGTTAAGGACAACAGGAAAAGTGTTACAGCTGGAAGATGGTAGATGGCACCTCTTAATACAAGAACATGTTTTTTAATGTCTTGCTACTAATAAGAAGGCAGTATTATGCAAAGTATTTAACGTCACATGGCCGATATCACAAAACGCATATATGTACCGGATGGGCGGTGCCTCGCTGGTGGGAGATATCTGGATGGGGAAAAGCTGCAAGCCGACGGGTAGGTTGGCGCCGGATCCCTCCAACCATCGGGGGGAGATCACCGCCCCCTCCCACGGTAAAAACAAGCACTTGCCCTGATTCACTAATCACTTAATACTATCTGAACCCCTGCGATTACATCGCACAGAAGGTGCGAGAAAGTGCGGAAAAGTTACGACAGAAAAAACTCCATATATATTAATATACTACATTGTTTTATGTGTTCCAAGATTTTTACACATATATACATGGATATTGTTTTGTCATACAACAGCAAATCCTGCTATCAACCTTACCTTAATGTATGTAACAAAATCTATTAAGTAAGATTTCCAAATAATAATCAGAACTCCATAACTCTTTAATGTACATATCACAAAAATGAAAGTACATTGAAAGATTGATGTACAAGAAAGTACATTGAATACTTACAACTGATAGTCACAAGCAATGGTCTTAACGATCACATAATATGATGTTCACTAAGCAAGACCAACTGCTCTTTCATTTCGCGTGAACTTGCCAAGTTGTGCATCACACCATCTTCCCGTTTTCATTGTAGGCGCATATTTCAATCAACGCAAATTTCGTAGATTTTTGTTAATAAAGGAAATCTGTGATGTATTCAACACATAAACCAGCACTCCTCACTTTTTTTGTACTTCACTTGTTTAAAACTGTTCACTAAAAGTTCATTATGGGGGACATCAAAATCGATATTTTTAGTTTTAATATTCTAGCGGAACCTATCAAACGTTGTGCTGCCCTTCAAATCCCTCTTTTTCCTTCCTTCTACCATTTTCTCTCCGTCCCTGTACGCCTCATTCACATTTCGTTGCAGATTCTTCACGTCTCTGAGCAGGTGGGGTAAACGCCGGACCAGCAACAATGTAATAGAATATTCAAAAAGATATCATCCTGTAGATATAGGTGTGTGAGAAAGGTTTCTTTGAGACCTTTGGTTTCAAAATTGTAGTTCTTAATGCCCTAGAACGCTCAGTTTAGGAGTTATTTAACGATATGGAGTAAAAAAATGCAGTCGAGTGTTGCGAGTAGCATTTGACATGAATGTTTAGTTTTGTTCTGCAGCGCCATCTAGTGGAGTTACAACAAAATTCACATTTCATAATCCTTCTGGGTGAAAACACGTAGATGTGCCAAATTTCATGGAGATCAGTGACACGGTGCCGGAGTTTACCGCTTTTAAATACCCCAACATGCATTTATTTCTGGTGTTTTGTTTTGTGTGGTGTGGTCAGGTGGAGGGCGTGGCGCTGAACCACGTGCTGCGCGCGCTGCACGACATCGAGTCGCGCGTGGACGTGTTCGCGCGCTACGGCGTGGACGCGTGCCTGAACGCGCTGGGGCTGTCGGTGGCGCCGCGCTTCCGCGGCCAGGGCCTGGGCCTGGAGCTCCTGCTGGCGCGCGACGCCCTGCTGCGCGCGCTGGGCCTGCGCCTCACCGTCACCGTCTTCACCGGCGCCGCCTCGCAGAAGCTGTCTGCGCGCGCGGGCTTCGACCTGCTGGCGCGCCAGCGCTGGGACGAGTGCCTCGACGACCAAGGCAAGCCCATCTTCCCCGACCCGCCCTGCGAGGACTTCCAGCTCAAGGCCAAGTACGTCGAGTGAAGAAGCGAAGCGGATCCGCGACGCTCGTCGATGTTGCTCCTGTTGCCAAAATGACGGGTTGCCACCCTACTTGAGGTGCGATGACCACAACCTCTGCAGCAGCGACTTTGCCGTTTGGCCAGTTCACACAGGTGGTGCGGAGAAATGTGAAAATTTGGAGTTGATGTCAGCAGTCCAGTGAATGTTCAATAAGTGGGGAGATGACGCCTAACTGTCAACTAGTAACGGACGTTTAGGTATAATGAATATGTAGCGTGTTAAATAGAATGCGGGTGCCGCGGGAGCACGCTACCCACATGATGACAACGTGACAGCTGCACAGAGTGTGTTTTGACGTCACTATGAGATCCCGATCCTTGGTCGAGTTGCTTCGCACATAATCAAAACACGGGTTCCAAATTTGAAGAGACAGATTAGCTTTTGAAAAAACGCTTTGTGGGCGTGTATTGTTTGCACGCGCCCCAGAAAATATTGCTGTACAAGCAACCATGGAGTGAATTCTTCATCGTTCGGTGCAAACACTTGTCTCGTCAGTAAGGCTCGGAACGTGCAAAATATACTCCACGACCTCAAATTCCATCCTTACAAGCTTCAGACATTTCAAACACTGAAACCTAATCATTCGGTATTATACTTAAAATTTTGTGAAAAACTGTTAAATTAATGAGGAAGCACACATCAATGAAAGTATTTGGATGTCATTTAAAGTCATTTTCTCCAGACCTCTCAGGTTGCGACTACCTATTATGGGTACTGAAAGCGTTGTTTTCCAGATTAGGCTAAAACATCTTACCCTGCTCAAGGCGCAGATTGAAGAAAACGTCGCTAACTTCCCGGAGAACACATTACGCAGAGATGTGCATAATCTGCAGAATCGACTCACTGAATATGTACGGCGAAATGAACAGCACTTAACTGACGTAACTTTTAAAGAGAGATGGCTATTGACATTTTCACTCTGGTAGTACACATTGTCAGCATCAAATAAAGTTTTGTACGTTGCATTCATTTTTTTATAAATATTTCAAATTTTTCCGTTTCTCTTCGCCACCTGTATCTACCCTCTTGCCTTTGCAGGAACTCGTAAGGTCACGGTTCAAGTTAGCGCGAAGTGTTCTTGAGATTTCTTGAGATTTCTCGAGATTCATTTGCCTAGTCATATACGTGCGGATATTGTGCCACATTATTATGTAATTTTGTGGCTCGTGATTATGTTTTTTTAAATAAAGAGGAACTTTCGATTCCGCAATTAAAAGTACAAGTGATAAAAATGTCAGACCTTTGATGGGAAGGTTCTGTCCCAAAAGCACGCCTCTAAAGTCATTTTGTACCCAAGGAACAAAAGTTTAAAAGGATGCACACAAAATTTCGCACCCCTCGGGCGTACAGCTAATGTAAAGCGTGTGGTGCAAATGACTCTTGTGACACTCGAGTTTTAACTCAACGAACTTTATCTTCTCCGTAGAGAGATACAAAACCTTCACTTAGACGTTTACGATACCGGTTAGTACCACACAGCAAACAAAACCGCCACAGAATGAAAGGAAAGTTCTCGTTCGAGAAAGCAAAACTACACATCGCAAAAATAACATTTCCGTCCGGTTCAGTGATACATGAGTGCAATATTTCTGTCCAAGAAAAGCATCAAAGTGCATTTTAGAGCATTTTCGGCACCTCTCGCTATGTTTGGCAACATGAGCAACTATCAGGACAAATGCGCATCAACAAAAGAAAGTTGTCTGCGGTACTAAGGCTACCTAGAATAGAATTCGCTACTTGTTGGCATAATTAACATTATGCCTTCCCCAAAAAGTTGAAAAGGGTCTACAGGACCATAATAAGTTAACTATTCAGGAGTCACGTAGCTAAGAGAAATTTGAACCCAAATATAAATTTGAAACCGACCTCGGGAACAGTAAACCGACAACTCAAATCACTAGCTGCAGCGCCCCTAAAGAAAATTCGCGGGTTCATCATTCACAACAAACTGTATGGAAATAAGAAATAATGACCCTTTCACACATAAAGTAAAATAGTACTGAACGTTTTTTATGTGTCAAAACATAAACACATTGATATCGAAATCTCTGGAAACCACGATTTTCTGTCACTGACCACCACATGCATTGAAAACAAAGCTAACTCGGCAATATGTGTTGTGAAGCCTGGTTCTTGAGATTACATGAATTTGATACACTGAAAGTGATCATGTAAATAATTTTTCATATTTTTCATTGAAGCAATGAACAGAAATTCTAAGTGTCAGTATTCATGTTTTAAATTTATACTGAGTGTAAATGAGCCAAATACATGAACTGAACATAACAGTTTACACCTGTTTAAAGTAGAAGAGAGTCAAGGTATACTCCAATCAATTTGTAATCAATATAAATCTTTGGATAATTTTAAATTGTTAATTGTAATTGCTGTAAAATTAAAATATTTCGATACGATAAAATATCGTATAAAATCATTTCAATGTAATTAAGAATAAAATGACAACAGAGCACAGTATTGTTAGATTATAAATTGTTGCATGCTCGATAAGATTCCCTTGCTTAAGATATTCCTTTTATCCCTTCTACTATAACGCCTCCTCGCCTTTAGCACATCCAGTGGTAGTTGCCCCGACCCAGCGCACTACCAGCCACAGCGTCCCCAAACACTGCTTAAATGGCTCAGGGCATCAACCGATGTCACTGCAGTGTCTCTTTCTGGAAGGTCCTACGAAGATCTGTCAACGGTAAAAGTGCCTGCAATAATTTGCAACTTTCTTAATATTAATAATCCTTCATCTGATTTAATTTAAAAGTATAAATCTAAATGTAATTACATATAAATCTATATGTAATAAGCATAAATCAATATGTAATGAAAAAGCATCGAAATTAATAATATGATGAAAAATGAAAGGAGAACATTATTTTGAATACTTTTTACTAATCATACGGTACCTTGGTTTTACCTGCTTGATATTCTACGCGAAGTGTCACTATTAATCGCATTAGAAGAAACCCTACGTCTCTTATCAGCAGTTTATACAGAAATCAAATTGTTAGGAATGAAATTTGTGAATTGGTGAAGGGCGTGAATCTATTGAGCATGTCTTTTGGTAATGCAGTTTTTTTAATAATGAAAGGAAAAAAATGTTATTCAGATTGCGCAAGTTTAATACGTATGGCCCATTTTCTATTAATTGCTATCAATTTTAGACAAAACTCTAATCTCAATTATTTTAAATTTTATTTTAAAGATTAACAAAAAAATATTTCATGATATTGTTACTTGCATTTTATATGCAAGCATTTTTTGTTCGTTTCTTCGATTCTCATTCTTATTTACTATAAAATTTATAGTTTTCTTATTTTCACAATTGTCATGATTTTTTAAATATTATTTTATCAATGTGTGTTTTGGATCTGTAAATATTTGTTTTAATGTCAATAAAAATATACTATACTATTACTATGTAAAGCCCTAGGTTCCACTCCCAAAAGTGCCAGGATTTTCGCCCCTAGCTTGGTCGAATTAAGGCGGTCTCTGGAGGGGGATTCGAGCATCTGGCTGCTGCGATCGGTACTTTCCCATGGTTTCTCCGATCACCGCCAGGTGAATGCCGTAACAGTACCCCAACACACGGGATTCGGACCGCGCGCGATCTTTCCTTCCTCTTCTTTCACCCTTTCTTCACCCCTCACTTACCCACTCTTACCCTCACATGCACTACACTATCGCACTTGTTGGTAGACTGATGGGGAGCTCACAGATTGTGCTGATTTGGGAGGTGCCCCTCAGGCGGAAGAAACCTGGTATTCAATTTTTGGGGAAATTTTGAAAATTTCCCAGGGACTTCATGTGAACTATTCGCAAAAATTAAAATGTGTATTTAAAAATCGCAGAGCTTCGAGTGAGGCTAGATCGACAGGGGAGTATTCAGTTTGAAAAAAAATTCTACGCATAATTTAGACACTAGTGTTGTTCGCAGACGGATGGACGTTTTTTCGGTATCATGGGACTCCAAAATGTTTATTTCCTATGAAATTCGTAATCATTTTCCGCTACTTTACATAACTTTCTCTATACTGCGTATATACGTACCGTACGTATACGAGAAAGTAAGTAAAGCGAAATGGAGTGTGGAACTTTGATGTGTTAAGTTTATCTTCCTTAAACCTTTTACAGGTTGATTTGCACATTTGCACACATTTAAGAAGCTTAGTACACATTACCTTACAAATTCCAGACACACTGAAACACCATCTTTCTCTTTAAACCGTATCATAAGGTTGGACTGAAACGACGAAGAAAAGTGTGGCCTAGGTCTGGCATCATGCTCGTAGTCTGTAGAGCAAGAACTTAAATGTAGGGTTTCGGACAAGGTGTAAGGTATTTCTTACACCGTGCTTCAGTGTCTTTAGGTTCCGACATGTTGAGGCATGAACTGTGATGCCATGTCCAATAAGCAACGAGCTTGATGCCAAGTTTCACGTTTTTCATCTATTTTTGTTATCGCACAAGATAATAAAACTTGTCGATATTAATTAATTTCACATGTGTCAATTGAGTTAAAAAATGTTGAGAACTAAATAGACCTGGTGCTTTAGTGCTTAGGGCCTGACTTGTTTGGGACATAGCTCTATAATAAATTACATCAGAATGAAGCAACGTATTACACTCTTTCTGATATATTTGCAACAAGAATATTTGCAATCTTTGCTGTTATGTCCAGTTTTAAGACAAAACAAGCATTAATTGATTTCAAATGATTAGTATTTTTACAACTGATTTATTTTTAAAAACAGAACAAGTTAATATTTGATGAGGCTCAGTATACAAGAAACACTGTTGTTTATAAGATTTTCTTGATATTTCCTTTGCTAACCCTTTTTTATTGTTTATACATTTTGTAATCAGAAGTTTGATTAGGGTGTTGAATTTTGTCCAAAACATTACAATAATCCCTTAATAATTCAACTAGTTGCTTGTAAGAGGTTAATGTATCAGACTTATTCTCCTCTTTCCATTTATGTTTTGTTTGTGTATCTGCATTTGAAGAGATACCACACTGAATGTATCACATTCCTCAATAAATATTACTCAATCATATTCCTTAACATATTGAAATTAGTACAATTATCTAAAAGATCCTCAATGCGAAAGCTGATGGACGTTCAAGTTTAACTGAAAACTATGACTCACTATTTGAGTCATGGTTTTATTCTCAAATGTGCTAGTAAACACGCCCTAAGGTAGGTCAAACTTTTCTTATTTGAGGGGTAAAGGAGTAATAAGTTGGGCTCCATTTGCCTCCAACATTTCCTTTAAATAACATTGTATTTTTACATTGCTCAAAGAAGCTTTTGATTACCACTGTTTAAAACACAAATTCTCCAAATTGGAAAATGTACCTGATAATTTAATTAACTCTAGATTGGGTAACTTTACAGGAGGTTTTTCATGTTTACTCTCAACAGTTCATGATTTTCCTTTATCTAGTACAGCTGATTTATTGGCATTTAAATTAGTTTCTACCAACCCTAAAGCCTTCCATAAATTGTTGAAAAAGACTCTTCAAAGCTAGCAGTTTCTGTTGGAATCACAGCTACATCCTCTACTTCTAAAAGCTGTACTTTCATATTTTTCAAATCTTCCTATAATAATTAACATTTGTCTATTCTGAGTTGAAGTTCATGAATCCCTACTTCACGTTTCCATTCTTATAAATATTTATAGAATAGAGTTACTTTAGCTTTGGCAAATGCTCTGTTTTTAATTAGTAACTGTTGTCTCCTTTGATTGAGAATTTAATTTAATCTTCACTCATTTTGAAAATATTACATTCAATAAATTCACGAAACAATTAACCCCAAAATCAAATCACAATGAAATGAATAACTACAGGTAATTGAAGATGAACATGAAAGTAAAAACTACATCAATATAGTTGACTACTGTTTCACTTCAACATGCTTCCATAATAACTTATTTGAACTGTAACAAAGTTTCAAATGTAACCATAATTATGTACTACAACCATGGAACATCCTTCATTCCATTACGTTGTTATTTAATGACTTTCTTCCCGGGCGGAAATTCTATTAGATGTACAATATTAACTTCACATTAGCCGCCACAGAAGGAGGGTTTCCGTATTTTGTAATGGCAATGAAAGTGAAATGGAGTCTGAAACTTTGGTTTATCAAGTTCCTTAAATATTTTACAGGTAGTTATGCATACTTGTATACTTTTAAGTTTCTTAGAACATATTACCTTCTAACTTGCAACACTTGACATACTGAAGCACCATAATTCGCTTTGCACCATATCACAAACTTGGAATGAAACGATGATGAAAACGTGTTCTGGCCCTGGTCTGCCCTGGTTGGACGCCGATCCAACTCACCAAGGCATGAACGAATCTCTGATTTCGAACCATATACTATCGTTCGTGAACTGTAGTAGAAGCCATGGAGTAAGATATCTTACATCTTACACCGTGGCGCAACCATCGAGCTAGAATATACAACACTACATAGATTTTGTGTTGGCTGCAGATACCTTGTGGTAACCCATATTGTGATATAGAAAGTAATAGTCCAAAACAATCACAAAACGTAATTGTTAAGAACGATTATATCCTATCTCATATTAAGACTAATGGTGTGGGGGACCCTATGGTCTCAGCGCCCTTGGTAGACGCTCGACGCACTAGAGGCTGCCACGATTCTTTCAGTCAAAACATGCGGTGCCTGTTAGTGGCGTGTAGAACCACATCTCGAACAGATTTTTGTCTTGTTTCGCTGATTCATTAAGCAAATGCTGAGATGGCCCCTTGTTTTGCTTCTGGGCGTAAATGTAGCTTCAATATGCGTACGTTTTGTTGAACTCTCCTTTTGCTTGCAATGGCAAAAGTAGAGGTAAGGGCGAGTTGCTATTTTGTTAGCGATGCAGAAAAATCGTACTTGCAATTCGTTTACCGATGCAAATAAGTTTTCTATTACTTGGAAACGAAAATGTCTATTTTTTCAAATATTGCTAATCTTGCGCTTTTTTAAAATTTATTTTTATTTATTTTTAACTTTTACTCATCTTTTAACTCTTTATAGTTACAACGACAGGTAGGAATTCTGGAACTCAAGAAAGCGTGCGCTCCCTCATACGTCACACAAACAGTTTTTACTGTTGTTGTTTTTACTAAATAAATCTAAATCTAAACTGTTGTAATGAATCGACTGTTCAGAACAATCCGACCTTATTTTTATATTGTTGTCTTTTCGTTTACCTGTATTTGAACTATACTAGTAGTTAGAATAATAATATTCACAATGCCTTCAGTATGATTTTGAAATAAGGACATGTACAAATTTGTGAGTAGTTTTCGCGTAATACTGCGTGAAATATAGATTTTTTTTAATTTCTCGTATACGTTTATGTATATATGTAGTATAGAGACGTCAATCACATCGGTCGAAGCCAATATCAAGTTTTGTCAAAATCATGCTTACGATTGCAGACGCAAACGTTGTTCACAGACACGGACGGATGGACAGTCGGCGACAGAGTTTTGCCGTAATTCAATTTTTCACCATCAAGGACCCGCAAATCGCGGATTGTCAGTACACAACCTGTAAGAAAAAGTAATTTACTTAATAAAACTTAACCTTTATTGTTACCTGGGTCCAGAAATAAGAGTTTTTCTATCGACATATCGCCGATTTTTTTCTCGAGGGACTATCTCTATTTTGCGTAAGAAGTAGGCGAGAATGTAAAAACTAAGACAAAGACACCCCAATCCCTGCTTACCCCCACACGTCAGGTTTTTTGGATGACGTAGTGTAGCATGTCCATGTGTACCATGGAACAATATTGCCGAGTTTCAGAACTCCGAAATTTATTTTACTCGATCTTCATTATTTGTGAAATTTGACTGAGATACTAAAATAATAATACATACGAAGAATGTGTTCAAGGAACATACCTTCTTATTAATTTATTTTATTATTAATTAATTTGACTGATATTACTCTTTATTCCGTGTGTGTACGTGTATGTGACGACCAAGTTACAAATGTGGATGCTCAACTATCATGTTGAAACAGCACTTTCTGGAATGTGCGTCAGACATAAGCAGTAACCAATAGAGTAATTTATTAAACATCGTGACTCTCGGGAAGCACTGCCAAGAAGATAAAAGCGGTTACGTAGCTTTTTTCTCACAATCAGTGGCGCTCCGCAAAGGAATGTTCGTAATTCATCGCCTGCAGGCAGCTTCTCAAACAGCGCTGTTTCGAGCGATGGCGCCGCTGATAAGAGAGTGCAGCGACAGGCGCGCGGCTCCACGTGCGCAGAGCAACTGTCAACGCTCGAGTGCGTTCACCCTTCACAGCGCGCCTTCATTTATTCATTCTTTTACGCGAAGGCAAATAATTTATTTAGTTCATTCATCTCTGAGAGACACATTCGATGTGATATACTTAAATATTCAGACTGACACCGCAGTTAGTGCGCAAATTAATTGGGACAAGATTAAATTTTAACTATATTATTTAATATGTGTCTAATACAGTTAGTAGCGTACTATAATTAGAAACGTAAGAGGCCTCCTTTTGCTGCAATTAGATTCTGAACACGTGACGAAGATTGAAACTCAGATTACAACAAATATTCCGTAGTTAGTCGTAAAACCACATGTTTATCTCCATTGCGAAGATGCGTTCTTTTGTTCCAAGTTCAAAACCAAAAGATAATTTTACGAAGATACCTTTTCACAATACGTCACAAATTCTCGATGGCATTTAGGTCGGGTGAATTGGACCACCAGACCACTGAAACCCATTAATGTCGTTTTCTTCCATGAACGTCGTGACTGCTTTGGAAGAGTGACATGGGACCAAATTATGTTGAAATGTTCCTCCAGCAACTGCAAAAGCCTGTAGGAATGGCAAAATTTTGCACCTAACAATTACCCTATATTTGATTGTATGTAGCATACCATCAACTAAAACTAGAGCCCCAGGGACACTTGAAGTGAAGAACTCCCATTCACTCTGCCGGCTTTCTACCCATTCACTCTTCGCATGATTTCGAAGTTTTACTTGCGTTTCGGCCTTAAGGCACCGACCTTTGAGGTTTTCTAGATATACTCAATCGCTTGAAATGTCGGAATGGTCCCTAGTCTTGCACCTCAGATATAAACGTAAAATCAGCCCTTTTTGCAATTTGTTTACAATAGAGGTATTTGGATGTAGGATACGACTTCTGACATTTTGCGAAATTAATCCTATTGACTCATTTCACCTCTCTTATGAAGAAAATACAACAATGCTCTCTTTACATCAAAATAGCTTTCGAGTTCAGAAAACTGTGAATGAAAATACATTGGAACTCTATGTGTAGCCTACTCCGTGTAGTTAATGCAATCATTACACTTTTCCAAGAAATGTGGAACGTCACGTATCGTTATTTGCACCCCAAACTCGTCAATTGTAATTGTGTAAATGAAAAGATATTTAAGTGATTAGGTGGAAGAGCAGGTCTTACGTTCAGAGCCTTGCCAGAAATAAAGGCATTTCTACTACTACTACTACTACTACTACTACTACTACTACTACTACTACTACTACTACTATTATTATTATTATTATTATTATTATTATTATTATTATTATTATTATTATGAGAATCATAGTCATTGTACAACTTGACCTCGTTTATCATCAAGATGAGATGAGATCGAAAGATGACCCAACGCAGTAAGAGGCGAATGATTGTCTCGGTCAGTGGAATGCATTGGTTCAGTGCACTTAATAACCTTATCAAAAGTCGTCATTGTCTGATGCAATACGACCTCAGGTGACCTTTCAAGCGAAGATCCGAGTTAACTTGCTGGAGTTGTAGAAGTGATAAGAATATCTCTCCACGTGTACGTACTCGCCTTACGTCATACGTAGTAAACACTTTTGTAATGCTGAGCCGGAAATAGGCGATTTTTTACAGAAAAACTTGTATTGTCAGGCCCTGGTAATAAATCTTGTTCCTTAGTCCAGTCGGTTACTGGTGGCATGCTATAGACGTCTCTAACACCTTCATAATGTTCTATTCTTCAGATAATTTTCCATTTAAATCCAAAACATTTATAGCTTTGTGGTATAAGTATTTGATTGCTTCAGTTAAATGGCGCGAACAGCCTCTTTTATTAATTATATACTATATCTATATCGATGCACCGTGTCGAATGCTTTCTAATAGTCCATGAGAGCAATATGTGTTTCCTCATTAAATTCTACTATCTCCGGCATAAGTAAGTTAATGAATACACAATCTTCCTTTGTTCTTCTAACAGTTTAATGTTGTAACATGATATTGTATAGAAGAGTTTATAATCTTCTGTTAAAAATTTAGTACTCGTAAATGGTAACGTGAGGACAAGAGTGCACTCCTTTTATCAAAAAGTGTGTTCCCACTAGTGCAATTGGCAAATTGATTCGAATTTTACACAGATATATGCTTAATGTATGAAGAATAAACTGTCCAAATAAGAATGGCGAGTCTTTAAATTTGATGTCTAAAATAATTAAAGAAGGAAGTGTTCGGACTTTTGTCCCAGGTGCGGGGTAGAAGTCCCAAGCAAAAGAGGCAAACGTTGGAATAAACAAAACATCTAAAGTTCCTTAGAAATAAACTAATAATGTTTACAGTGCTCATACGATTTAAATTCATGTAACATCAACTTTATTTGTAAATTAACAAATGTGATGTAAAGATTCTAAGAGGTCATGATAAAAGGTCACGATAAATGAAATGTCGTAATAAATTCATATTATGTACTGTATACATTAATTCCCACACAAATTACACAGAAATTGTCCTCCCTCATAGCAAGTGCATTTTTCATACCACTACCCTTTACACCTATCATATTGAATCCAGTCTTTAGCTGGAGGGTCATTGAATTTTATTTCGCAAGCAGGGTTTATCCCTATGACAGCATTTTCATTGGCAACTCGTTTATAATTCCTGCCCTATCCTTTCTTATTTGTTAAGTTCCAAATCGATTTCTTATTGGCATTTCCGGGCCGCTTGTTCTCCAGTGCAACCTGTGATGCCAGTTTGGGGACTTCTTTCTTCGCCGCGCTTTTTTTTTTCAATTCAATCCTGTCTTTCGGATGGGCATAACGTCCGATGAAGAGTAATGTTGTTAATCGCGATTCTCTGAAGTTTCACAATTTGGAGATTCGCGTTCTTTAGAGGGTATTGCTCAATACAGATGAAGATGGCTCCGATGAGTGATTTATGATTTGATTACACGACTACTTACTTCAGGATCTTCTTCAATTAATGCCAACTCATCTGACAGTGTAGCGGGAGAAATTGGTTTATGGTCTGTGACCTGTGAAGGAAGACTTTCTACCCAAATTTGAATTTGTCAGTGGGTATCCAATACCACATACTTCAAAAGCTTTCGCGGCCTTTCCAGTCGTAGGATTGTACGATGTACGATTTACCAAACAGTTTCGCTACCTGGAATTGGGTGATGACCCTTCCTGAATAAATTTCAACATGCACTGTGATTGGTGTGGTAGATGTCCGCGCCAGGACTCTTGCCCTGAAACGAATGCGGACACTTCCCCAATCGTTAAAATAATTTATTTTAATTTGTCCTGCCTTCTGTCAGGCATCTACGAAATTATTTACTAGTGCGTTGTGTATATCTCATTTCACATATCTAAACTCACATATCAAAATTGTATATTTTAATTGTTGCGCTATTAACGCCGTAGACATATTTCCAATATCTTGCACTCGTACATCAAATAAGTACAAATTACATCACACGTCATTGCGCAGGTGTATTAGCTCTGGAACTACCAAACTCTCCTCACAGAATATTAGCCATGACAACTTCCAATTTATATTTCAGAAGTGCTAAATTCACTTCTCGAAAACACGAATGACGCTTTTTGAACTCTTACCCCATGCGGACGTTTGTTCAATACTACTCTGTATCTTGAATGGCGGATGTAGCAAATTAAATCCATTATAGTTCTCTGATTTACACCTATTTCCTTTTTACTTTCTCGCTACTGCTTATGCGGTAGAGGTAAAGTTATATAATGAAAAAACGGCAAATTATCGGCAGAAAAACTATTACAGGATCCTGGCAACGAAAATGTGGATAAATCCAGATGATAAATTAAGAACAAAATCATCTAACACGTGGTGTAGCCAGAATCCATGTTTTGAGTGTCATTGATCGACAAATCGAATGACAGCAAAAAATATGTCTGTCCCTCCGTCCGACTGTAAACAATGCTAGCGGCTAAACCATTCAGTCTATTTTCTCCGAAATTGATATTCCCCAATCGATTTGGCTGATATCGCGGCCCCTTGAATTTGAAATCGATATTTTAATTTTGGGGGTACTTTACAGGAGACATTTTACCAATTTTCAAAAACATGGCGCCATCGTTTCTTATTAAATGTTATTGGATACTGTGAAAGCGTTTTAGAGAATGGTGCAGGTCTCACTTTCGTTAAAAATGCTGAATTTTCGAAAATTGCAAAAATCCATTTTTTAGTGTCTTCTACAACGACAATCATGAAGATAGATATTTGTTCCCCTAATAAAATTTGTCCCTCAAAGATGAATTTCTAAACAAGGTCATGTTCAATTTTTCGAAACTTTGAGTACTTTTCGCGTAATGTGTTTTGGAGTGTGGTGTGCTTAATGCTACGTATATATATGTATATATATATATATATATATATATATATATATATATATAATTCCTTTGATATCATTAATCACAATCATGTATACAAAGGCCTTCATGTCTTTGCCCACTCTGACTGCTCAGTGCGCACTAGACAGGCATGTGCACTGCGGGTTGCGTAATGACTTAATTTACACTCCCTTCTCACCAGTATCTCTAGAGGTGTCTGACCTCCAAAGTTTTATATTTCCTTTGTAATACCAAAGTAATAATAAATACCAAATATTGTAGAAAAACTATATTTGTCTCGTTTTGAAGAGGTAAGGCGGAACACGTAACCACACATCCATCAATTGGTTTTGATATATTAATATTTTCGGCAAATGGTACATTGTAAGGCAATGTGTATGATTGGCACTTGGTTTCAAAAAGTTTTACACAAACGTTGTACGAAATTATATCTTCTGTAAAACAGATATCAATAATTTATCGATAGGACGTCATAATAATAAACTATAGAGAAGAAGGAAAAAGTCAGAAAAATACAGGGTACATATAATATACCGAAAGAAATAGTGTTTATAATATTTTTCCAGGTACCTTCCTTTTTCAGTCCCTGCCGATTGGACCGTAATTTGTAAATTACTATAGTTTTTATTTTCAGATGCTCTTATGTAAAAATTACAATATTATTTATATATCATCAGTTCAAAATAGTATTCCACTGGCCGAATGCTCGAAAAGGACGTTTTACTGGTTTATTCACGTCAGATCCAGACAGAAGCCGGGATAATTTTGAAGTCGTAGGCTTCCACGGCCAGAGTCATATGCATGATCTTGGCTGTCCGGGTAATGCCGCGTCGAAGGTGTTGCCGACGTTTCAACCATCTTGTCGTGGTCTTCCTCAGGGTTAGTATAAGCCCGATTCCAGCCCTGAGGAAGACCACGACAAGATGGTCGAAACGTCGGCAACACAGCATTCGACGCGGCGTGGCTCATACCAGCCCTGAGGAAGACCACGACACGATGGTCGAAACGTCGGCAACACAGCGTTCGACGCGGCGTCACCCGGACAGCCAAGATCATGCTCCCGGGATAATTTTGATATCCTGAGCCTCGAACCGCAAGCGAAAGTTCGTTTCATCCTCTTTCTCACCCCCACGGCAAACGCTCCGATCTCCACCCACATCACACTGACCCACAACCAAGAGACACCCCGAGGGCCGCGCTTGTTCGCGGGCGGCAGGGGAAAGCCTGATCTCGCCTGCGGTGTCATCGGACAAGATTCGATTGCGACCTCTGAACCGCAGCGAAGGCCCTGGAGCGAGTCGCCGTCGCCGCCCGCAGGGAACGTAATTGGCGACTGCGGCAGCAATTGAGATCGCGTGACGCCCAAGGCCGCGCGTCACGTCGTCTGTCGGTCGCGCAGCGCAGCTGCCGGCGCCCTGCGACGCCTCGTCTTGTAGTCGCCCTCCGACGCCGAGGCCGGCTGCACCGCTCCAGGAACCCCTCCGCTCTCTGCTTTCCAGGTTTTCTTTTAGTTTTTATTCTACTATTACTATTATTGTATTACTATTGTTATTATTATTATTATTATTATTATTACAATATTACTATTGTTGTTCCCCTAAATCGCAGCTAAAGATGTTATGAGTAGATTGAATATAAAATCTACAACAGGTTGCAACCAGTTGTTAAGAAGTAGATCTAGGGACTTCTTTTTCAGGTTTCACAGTTTCTTTTAGTTATTACTCTCTTATTATTATTATTATTATTATTATTATTATTATTATTACTATTATTACAGTATTACTATTATTCCTCTAAATCACGGCTAAAGATGGTATGCGCCGGTTGAATATAAAATATATCGCGGGTTACAACTGCAAATAGAACAAACCTATTGCGGGTTAGCTTCCTAAGAAGTAGATCTTGGCACTGTGTGTGCCTCTATAATACTATATGGATTTAAAACTTAATAAAGTTTTATAATTTTCTGGCATTTCATTATTCAGTACACTGCTATCAAAATCTGCCCACCATCTGAAACTAGTTTTTAAACACGTATTTTTCTGTTTTTACTTGTGTACTGCATGAAAATTAAAACCAATATAAATAATACTTAGTAATTTTATATTCATAACTATTACGTACTTTCTCGCTCATAGGAAGGGTTACGTAAAATTATTTCACCGCAATTTCTGTCCATATTAACGCATCTTAAACATCGCTTGTAAAACTCCTTACACATCGTAGAACATTAGTAACAAAAAATAATGTTGTGAAAGCTAATATCCACACAAATCCGACATTAACATGTTCTTCACACATCTAGTACGATTATATCATCTACTACAAATGAGAAGAAATTCTCAGAATTTAATCAGCCTTGTCGAGGCGCGGCGCGTGGCGTTCAATTAAATATCTCCTGGGACTAGCATACAGAGCGCGGGATTTCCGAATTTGACACTTCTGGAATGCAAAATTATACTAAGCTATTCATATTTTTTAAATACACACGACCCATTTTAGAACAGATTACATTTAACAAACTAGAGGTGCTACATCACATACTGTCTCGCAACATTGTAATGTTGTCGTTATATAATATTACGTCAAAATGTCTGCCCATCTTACACTTCAACACATCTTACACTTTATCTTGTGAAACACGAACCGTGAAATAAATATTTTGTATACAAACGTTTAAATGAAAAAATATTTATGGCATTGCAATTAGTGTATTAGGATATTCAGTATATTTACGAACATATGCGATGCAAATTTAGTCTTAAAATATTCTACGTAAGCATTATGCGAGAAAGTAATAAGAAGTTAATAAATAATACGATCTACCGGCGGCGGTGGTAGCGACTTTCGTCACGCGTTGTTGGGAACGCGTAGTTATTAAAACAATGGACTATTCGTTTGGCATTCACATTTCACAACGCAGTAACACTGACAGCGCTAGAAAGCAAATACAAATTATTCGGAAAATATATCATGGAAGTATAATTATTAAATACTATACATATTATTGTAATATTCACCACTCTTTGTAACGTGAATTACAGGTTACCTATCTAAAAATATAATGCTACAAGTTCCACACGTTTTCACATCTAAGAAAATTCTCTCAAATCTTCATTACAGATCCTAGAACAAAAACGTTGGTTTCTACCTGTATTCAGAATTCAACATGTATATGGTTTAAAATAGGGATCCCAAAATTCAGTGGAATCTATTTCTCCCCAAAGAGCATCAGATACAGTCTTTATCTGTTTTTGACGTTAAATAATAAATAATAAGTAAAACATATAGCCTCGTAATTGTTCTACGCCCATGTTAAACAACGAGAAGAATCCAAAAGAATTTCAAACACACAGCTGCTCAAGCATGGGGCGGGAATTTCAAATATGAAATTTCAAAAATTTGTAAATTTACCCCAAACCAATTATATCTTTAAATAATTGTACATGATATTTTTAAAGATCTGATTATCAGAATACCATTAATATTATTCTTTTGCAATGTTAAGTCGTTGCAAGGACCGTCAACAAGAGTTTTTCTGATGACAATTCGCCGTTTCCGGTGTACGAGTACAATCCTTTTTCTGCAGAGCAAGTGCGAGGAAGTGAATCCATTTTTTCAAAAACAACTCCAAATTTTTCTTTAATTTTTTTAGGAATAAGACAGAGACGATTAAAAGAATGACAAAGTTCTCATTTTCGTTGATCTCTGAATTTTTGAAAATTGATTGTTGGTAATTGGTTGAGACAATTAGATTTATAAGTGTCAGCCCAAGTTAGTACGTCAAAACGGTTGATTTGTGTAGAGGAAAATCACACAGAGTTATCTCGGAAGGCCTGAGTTAGAGTCTCGGAACGGAAAAACTATTTTGCTGGTTGAAAACACTTTTGAAAGTGCTGCACTATTGAAAACACTGCATTTGAAAGTTCATGTAGTAGTATAATATTGCAGATAAGTTAGAAATAATGTGAGAAAGAATATGCTATTGTTGCTCTAGTTTACAATACATATTCTTGTCGTCTTTTTTGGTTTGGGAATCTTCAATATTTTTTGAGCTGCTACCAAGAATTTTATCGACAATTTCAATGTCTATAGTAGGACACGAGTTAATCTTATATGAAATAAATAGACTCTGAATTTCTGCTTTTACCCGTATGTAGCATATATTATTAAACATTGTAACGAGCCGGATGAACAGATAGCCAGCCGTCAGTCGCGATAGTTGTAAATTGCCTCCTTGGTTCAGTAATTTGTGATGACCGAGAGATCAGGGAATTCCGGTGATAAGAAGTGATACATGAGTCTGACTCGCAGCAGCACACACAAGGGTAGACGCTTCTAATGCCGCCTAAGCTGAGACTGAAGTTTACGTGTGCGACAAAGTCTTACAATATGAGAACACGTAGTCCGGAACACCTAGTGCTGCTGCATTTCAATATCATTAACTCGTTATGTCCTGTTTTTTTTAATGTCAGTGAAAAGGCATTCACAATTCAGAATAGTAGATTCTGAAGAGATATATCTTAGCGAACGAAATTTTGTTTGCTTATTTTTCTTACGAAGTTTCCAAATGATAGTGAACTATACGAACGATTACATTTTCAGGTATTTTGTTAGTTTTTCTACGAGTATATTTTTACTTTATCGCACTTACTTCGTAAGTACAGACAGTATTGTAATTGTGCACCTGAAAACGGTGAATTTTCTGCAGAAAAAAATCTTTGTCGGGCCCTGGTAACGAAAACGTAGATAAACCTTTTTCCTGTACATAGCAAATTACTTACGCTAACAGGCATGACCAGCGCTTGCCCTGCACGCTCCTCTGTGCACTGCTATCTATCGGCATATTTTCCTTTTTCAATTTTGATTAATTTATGTGCATTGTAATTTTTGAACAATGTTTTAAAACAGTGATATTTTTTCTATTTTGTTCTGATTGCTATTTTAGGATCTTTTCAAATCTTTGGAAGAAATTTTCAATAACATTTCACAGTTCTATTTCTGATGTTTCTTAATGAATATAATTAAACGATCCCCATCTCTATCAGTTTTTTGTCCAATTTTCCTAATCCATTCAGCAAATGCAGAGATGGCCCTTTGTTTTTCTTCTGGATATAAATGTAGCTTCACTATGCGCAAAATTTGATAAACTTTTCTTTCGATTTTAGTGGTGGTAGTGATAGGATTAGTGCTGGGTGAGAGTTGCTGTTTTGTTGACAATATGGAGGGACCAAACCTGGAGTTCGTTTGAAAATGCAAATAGGTGTTCAACAACTCGGGAATGAAAATGTTTAGTTTCTACAAATGTGGCTAATCTCACTGTGTTTCAATTTTATTATTATTATTATTATTATTATTATTATTATTATTATTATTATTTTAAAATTCTTATTCATCCTTCAACTATTTATAGATCAATGGGAAGGGGTTTTGGAGCTCAAAAAAATGTGTCCAGTTGATTTTCTACCCCATACGTTACATACTGTTTTTGCTGTTTTGTGACTAAATAAATCAAAATCAAAATCTTCAGCACCCATGGCATGGCCATACTGTTTTTGCTGTTTTGTGACTAAATAAATCAAAATCAAAATCTTCAGCACCCATGGCATGTAACAATAAGATAAAATGCTGCAAATAGCGTGAACCGTACATCATAATCTATCAGCAAAAAACACTAAAATTAGGCGTAAATATCGAAGATGCAATACAGAAATTAACATACAGGTTAGTTCGCGCGGCGATGGACGTGACAACAAGATATGAAGTTACAAAACATTCAGTGTACTCCCAAGAAATACGACAAACTCAGAAAACGCAGAAAAAAGTCGCCTTCGAAAACTACTCATGAACTCACGTCAGCCAGATGACCAAAGAAATTTATTGAAATTTAAATATTAATCGTTGTTTTGTTTGTTTAATCGTTTTAGTTCAGTGTACTAACGTAGGTGTAACGACTGAGAGAGGTCAATCAGGGTATCAATTGATGTCACTGCAATGCCTGTTCTGGAGGTCCTAGGTTCGAATCCGGATGGTGGCAGGAATTTCGACACTAGCTAGAGAGATTCTTGCAAGCACGAATTCTTGCGTGCAGCTGCTCTCATCGCCCGTTTTTCATGGTTTCTTCTATCATTATCAGGCGAATGCTGGAGCAGTACCCTAACAAACGAGTCACGGACCGCCCGTGATTTTTCCTTCCTTTTCATTGTTCTATCCTCACCCCTTACACACACTTACACTAACATGCACTGCGCTACCACACATGCCGGGAGACCGGTCGGAAATTATTCACGGACGGTATTAACAAGCCACGTTGTCACCGGCTGGGCACGTGCCCCGGTAATGGGAGATAGGTGGTTGGAGAAAACCCCGCTAGCCGACGGTAGGTCAGAGCCCAGTCTCACCATTCAGCAGGGCTAAAGATCACCACCACGTCCTGAGAATAAAATGTACAACACTTACGGGATTTATTATTACAGCAGTTGACGTACTCAGAATCCCTAATCAATCAATAAAAAATCAGTATTTAATTGACTTTGCGGGTGACGCCGCGTCCACGGCAAAAGTGCCAACATTTCGGTCGCCATTCTGCGACCATGCTGGCATTACGCCCTGAGGAAGGTCGCAAAATGGCGACCGAAACGTCGGCACCTTTGCCATGGACGCGGCGTCACCCGGACAGCCAACTAAATACTGACTCCGGCCGCGAAAGCCTCAATAAAAAATCAGTTCACCGTCAAGAAATTCGATGAATATTAGCAGGCAAACGTCGCCTTCGAAAACAATTCATGAACTCACGACCGCCAGATGACAAAAGCAAAATTGAACGAGCTGATCGTTTCGTTGTGTTTGTGTTCGTGAGCAGGATGTCGGCGGGCGCGCGCTGGAAGCGGCCGGCGGCGGTGGCGGTGCCGCGCGTGTGGCGGCGCTGCTCGGGCCGCACGCCGCTCGACGGCCAACTGCCGCGCTTCGTCATCCAGGACGTGCCCGACGACCTGCACGAGGCCGTCGTCGCCTTCATGTCCACCTTCTTCCCGCGCGACGAGCCCATCTGCGCGCACCTCAAGCTCTGGACGGACGCGCAGTCGCTGGCGGAGCTGCAGGGCCTCTGGCGGGAGAGCCTGCACCAGCACGTGGCGCTGGTGGCGCTCCTGGAGGACGCGGCCGGCGGCCCGCCGCGCATCGTCGGCTGCAACCTGCTCGCCGTGCTCTACAAGGAGGACCAGGGCCAGCCCAACCCGGTGAGCCCCCACAACACGCCAAAGAGCTCGACTGCATAAATTCGTGGTTACGAGGGCAATATGAAAGCAGTTGAATGAGCTACGTGTTCTCTATGGAGGGAATTATGCACGGAAAATGTGAATGGGAATGAATTATGAAAACACAAACCGAGTCAAGTTAACATATAGTTAATTACTGAGTAACCAAAATAAAATTATCTACCTCGGGTGTAAACTGGTTCTAATAATCTCGTGCGACAAAAATATCTCGTGCCAGAAACCCTGCGGCATTTTATCGCCCATCGATCGGTAAAACCCTTATAACGTCCTTGGTTTATAAATAACTATTATGTTTTACAGATTCATTATCATTATTGCTTGTTATTGTCTTCGATAACTGTTCAAGCGATTTTTTCGAAAATTTATATCTCCTAATCGATTTGAACTTTGATTTTTTGGCGGTTAGTTTATATGAAGATTCAACATTTTCTCAAACACAGTTCCTAATTTTTTTGTTTAATTTCTTCTTCCGATAGCGTGAAGGAAGCTTAAAGATGGCGCAGATATCATTTTCGTTGTAATCAGCATTTTCGAAAACTGGAAAAGTTGTAATGGCTTTGGCCATCTTTCCTCAACATACAATACTTAAGATAGATATTTTTTTAATAAAATCTGTTCTTGTAAAAACATCTTTATTTATTTGTTTATTTATTTATATAGGTCAAAAACAGTTAAAAACTGTTTGTGACGTAATAATGAACCAGTTTTCAAAAATATGAGTTGTTTTCTTAATTTTCGTAAAACAAAATCTCATTTTCAAAGTAAATCCCATTTTCATCACTCTCTGTATTTTTGAAAAGTGCAAAAAAGTTAACATTGCAAAATTACAATACTGATGATTAATATTTTCTCTTATATAAAAACTATTTAAAACATTATGTGCAATAATATAATTTACAATTATTTTGAAAAAATGAATGAAGTTTTTGCGTACTTTATTGTATTAAGATAATTTTTAAAATATTTTTTTCCTACAGACGGCTCAAAATTTTTGAAAGAAAAGCTAGTTTCCTGCTGTGTGCGAGGTGTCTGGTTTCGTTATGTTCTAGAAGAACTCGAAATAATCCAAAAACTATGTTTCTATTTTTTCTGAAAAATTAAAATAGTTCTGTTATTCCACCACTGATTACGGCACAGCTGACGTCATGCGACACGTAAGTTCCAAGGAAGGCGACACCGCTATTAAATATTTGTTAATTATGTATTGCGTTATGGAGCAGCAATTTTTTTATATGCATGCTATGTAAAGAACTGTTGTAATACGTAAATGTGTTTTACTTCTCTAGTTACAGCTGTGTCGGCTGAGGCTGTTTAGTTGGGATATTTAATTGGTTGGCGTGTTAAACGATGGTTGTTGAGCAGTGCGCTTTCGGTAAGCTCCCGGTAACTGTGTGTCTTCGTCCGCAGTACAAGGGGTTCGCGATGCGCGCCTTCCTCGAGGCGCTCAACTACCACAACACGGTGGTGGACCCGTTCGAGCGGTTCGGCGCGGCGGAGGCGCTGGTGGGCTTCGGGCTGAGCATCGACCCGGCCTTCCGCGGCCAGGGCCTGGGCCTGGAGCTGATGCGCGCTCGCTTCGATATGGGCCGCGCCGTGGGGCTGCGCCTCACCTACACCGTCTTCACCGCCATCCAGTCGCAGACGCTAGCCGCGCGCGTGGGAATGGACACGCTCGTCGAGGTCTGCTACAAGGACTACAAGGACAACGGGGAGCCCGTGCTGGCCGGCATCTCCTTCCCGCCCTCCATGAAGCTGCAGGCCCGGCCCATCGACTGAGCCTCGCCCACGACTTCACCGCATCTTGCCTTTACAGTCGGCTTTTCAAGAGGTCATTTATCGCGTAGCTGCAGTACAAATGTTTGTCACGTTGGATCTTAAAGGAAACAAATTATCATAGGTAATACCGCAAGTGCTATGGAATTTGTCGCGAAGCGGGGAGGGGATTCATCTGACAACTTCCAAAGTACCATTTCATAGGACTATTCCACGAATGAGATTACGTCAAACAGAGTTCCAAAATGCGCCAAATATTGAAAATAACTTACAGCATGGTAACAACAAAGATATTATGTTATAGTAGATATGCGGTTTATTGAACATCAACATAGCGAGCGATGTATACCGCCTCCTAAGATAGATGAGACAGACTATGCTTGACCAGTACGGAGGGGCGGTAAGAAAAATCAGATAAAAAATCTATACATTTTTTTAGATGCACCGCTCTGATTGGGGCATTTTATATGTATTGGTTTTAATTTCACGAGTGGAATAGTCATAGTAAGCTATGAGTGAGCTTATTTGAGTCGTACGTTACCGAAAATGTCCTTTAACAGGGTATTCCTTCTTTCAACCACTTCAAAATATCTCTGGGAGTTCTTTTAGAGAGTTGGTACTGCTGATTAAAACGTCCTAAATTTTACACACAATACAAGGCTAGGTTAGGAGCGTGAAGCCTTTTTTCCAGTTCTGTAAAGTGACGTTTCCACCGTTCAGTAAAATTGCGTACGCCTGAATCGCACTGGGTAAAGAGGAAGGAAATAAAGTTGTTAAAAAAGATTTTATTTTTATGGGAACTGGTAAAGTTGTATAATCATATATTATATTAAATAAATATATTTCATTTATATCATTTTTTGTCTGTCAGGTTTTTCATCATTTTCAGTTTCAGCTCCAATAATCAAACATTAATACACTTTTAACACAACGTAAGAATTATACTTTCAAATATTTAAAAATGTAAAGAAAATTAAAAATGTTTCGTCCCTTGAAAGTCAAAAACCACAAAGATTTGAAATATGAATTATATACGTGGGATAAATGAATGTACACGACGAAATTATAAAATTGGAGTATTCTGTTGTTTCCTAAATGAGATTTCCATCTAATATTTTGTGTGTAATGATTTTACATTTTCATCCTTTAAAAATAGCTTTAAGACCTCAAAATATTCATTGAATAGTTTCTGCATTCGATGATTAATATATTATCAGAACTATCCTGATTTCATGTAAGTGCCATTTCTTTCAAGACTTCAAGCTGGGTAGCGTGAATATGTTGTAAATTATAATGAACCTGTGACATGTTTTACACTTCATAAAATTTCGTGTAAGTTTCTTCAAATAGCAATGGACATACGTGCAGTCAGTGTGGCCCAGAAAACATGAATCTGTTCGCCCAGGATCTTCTAGTTCGATTTAAAGTACAAAATTCCGCAATAATAATGTTAATAAAACTTATAATAAATTATATTTAAGTATATAATTAAGCGCTAGCACATAAATATTAAAGCCGATTTTCTCCAAAATTGATAGTCCCCAATAATTCTGACTGATGTTATGGCCCCTGGAATTTGAAGTCGATGTTTTAATTTTCTGACATACTTTACATGAAGCCCCTCAGACATTCTCAAAATGTAAAAAAAGGCACCAATTTTTTAAGATAAATTTTGTTTTTGGGTAGTGTTGTGAACGATTAACACAATGATGCAGAAGAAAGCCGCACATTTTCGTTAAAACCCCTAATTTTTCAGAAATTACAAAAATACAAATTTATATACGGCTTACTATTGTACTAAAAAGGGAGACTTTTTCCTATGTAAAAGGTGTTCCTTAAATTCTGTTAATCATCTTCAACTTTTCAAAAATGTAAATTGTTTGCGCGAAATATAGGTAATTTAATTTGTTTCTCAAAATTTTCTTGACAAATGTAATAAGGGGAGGTAAAGTAAGGCTACTTCCATTTTCGAGTAAGGTTCTGTTTTTCGAAAATTGAAAAAACTAACATTTCAAAACTATATAACTGGAGATAAAGATTTTTGCCTCAAAGAATGTCTGCTGTAAACTAGCAGCTCTTTAAAAAATAGAAATATACAATTTTTTTGAAAAATTGAGTCGGTTTTGCGCAATTTACACTTGAAAATTACGCAATTTTAATAAAAATATTTTTTAATCAAATTCGAAAAAAACTCAGATTGAAATTCACAGATTGAAAGAACGATTAAAAGGATGGCGCCAGACTCATTTGGTTGAACAATCCGTATTGTCGAAAATTGCGAAAAAGTAACATTTGGAAACTACAAAATGGAAGATAGAGATTTTTGTCTTAAACAAAGTCTGTTCTAAAAAATCAACTCATTAAAAAAGGGCATGTAGATTTCTTTGAAAAACTTGTAATTTTCGCGAAATTTCTGCTTGAACTTAATGAAATATAGGCAGGTGTTCCACCAACTGCAAGCCATGAGAAATATCTAAGGAGATCAGAAATGGATCCAAATGATTTGAAAAATAATTAATTTAATTTTAATTTACTACTGAAAATGTCAGTAATTCAATATTTACTCTATCCTACAATTTGTATTCTCAAAATATTGATGTACTTTCTTTTAAGCAATCCGCATACCTTAATTGAAATTTGCGCCACAATGCCGCAATAGATATTTGAGAAGTCCATTTTTGAAGCGAAATAGTGGCGGCGATAAGATAAATCTGTTTTATTTACAGTTGAGTTTGTGTTTGCAAATTAACTTTGTAGAAATAATTCAAAACCTATTTAATAATTCAATTTTTTTCTCCGTGTTACGGTGTACAGGACATACATATATGAACGAAAGGTTACTTATCTATTAATTTTTCAGCATTTCATCAACAATACATTCTATATTATTGTCTTTCAAACTTTCAACGAGTGTAAAGTAATACAATAGAACGGCGATTATCCGATTTTTTTAACAAATTTAGGTTCACTATTTGGGTGAACATTTTGAGAGTTAAAAATTAAACAAGGGTTTACAAAACGTACGGATTTATTTTTTTTTTAAATAAACACGTTTCCATTTCTCGGCTGTAGAGCGTTAAAGTGTTCATTTTACTAATTTAAAGGTTTTCTATATCAGATGAGAAACTTTTATAAATGATTTTGAAATAAAAACATTCAATAACATTATTAGAAACTTTAAAGTTTTATTTTCCTTTAAAGTTTTAGCTTGAGGCGGTGTCAATATATAATAAAGCGGTAATAAATTAAATTAATATCAATATTCGTATAACATAAGTAATTTAAATAGCTCATTAGTATTATAGTTAATCAACTGTGTATGATGTACTACGACCAAGCCATAAGTCGAAATCTTATTACAGATGGAAATAAGCGTGTTTACAAGAATTTATTTTATTCACCAAGCACTTATGTCAAACATTGCACATACATTTGGCAGCGATACATTGCCAACAAAGCGTTGCTCGCTTCTGTATAATTTGCTCCAAATACTAGAGCAATCAAATTTATTCCTGTTTGTTTCATTTTTAAAAGTAATTCATGATTGCTGCTCCTCGAAATGAATGCAGATATTCATCATAGGCACTTTGTTTGAAATAGTGGAGTTGGACGTTTACAAGTAATAACTGAGGTGTTAGTAGCGTCGAAATTGAAATATTTCAATATTACGTAGACGCAACGTGTTTCCAATGTTGCGAGGAAGTACGTGCTGTATTAGCCCCATTAGTTTACCTCTGTACGGTTTAAAAGAATCACTCACTAACGGAAGTATAGTGTTCTGGTTATGTTGAATAGTTGCATCTGAAGTAGGCGACAGTTTATGTAACCACATTGCCAAATTTCGTAAGTAACTGCTTCTGTAGATAACGTGCCTTCACATTCATTTATTAAATCGAACTTTTTAATTTATCAAATAAACATCTGTCTTACGCTTTTAAAACAATAAATAAAGTGCTTGTTGCGCTTATCTGAATTCTCCTATATTTGTTTCCAATTTTATCGCTACAATAAAACGCATTCCTGACATGCTTACTGCCAAGGCCGTCTCCTTCGGCGTGACAACGCTGTTCCCCACACCCCGAACGTCCTTTCACCCTTCGGACGGACAAAGGGAGGTTCGCTTTCTAACTGGACTTTCCGATCATTGACCTATGCATTCTGCTGTAGAGGAAGTACTTACCATATGCGCACTTTTGCTTGATATTCCACAGCGGGGGTCTGGAGAGAGGCGGGTTCTGTCTGCGTCACGGCAGTGCAGTGCTGTCACGGCGTCGACACGAAACTCAGCCTAATAGCGCGTCTTGGAGTAGATAGCAATAAGAAACATCGAATTTTTTTTAATTCTGAAAAAATAATAAATAAATCTTGAAGTCAATGAGTAACAAAGAGCATTATATTACTGGCGCAAGTTTTCTTAATACACGTGCTCCCTGGCCCTCACCCAACGCTGGAGAGCACGGCATGTTGAGATACTTAGGTTCGACTCGGAACGGCACTTACCAATTTACAATGCTGGCAACAACCACCCTGTACTTCCAAAACAATCGTAGCATTTCTCGTGGCACGCTTTGGCAAGTAAAGTTAATGCCCACAGTTGGTACGCCCTTTTAAGCCGTGACGTAGCCAAGCCCTCCTCTCCCCGCACCCCCCGCTGTGGAATATCAAGAAAACTTGCGCAGAGGTCGTTCGAAAAATAGTGCGCGAAAACTGAAAAGTACTCATTGTAAAAGAAGAAGACGGGTATCACTGCAAACTGAGCCGCGACGTTCCGAGTTGAACTCATATTTTCTATGGACTGTGCCGTGCCAGGCTGAGCGACAACTCGGGAGCTGAAGGATCAAGAAAACCTGCGCGCATAGTAGCCGAGGCGCTATTAGTATGTGAGAGTACATGCATGTACGAGATGTGTACATACCCTCAGTCAATAATACAAAAACAACACAGAATGCCAATATTGAGTACAATTTGTTTTTACCAACATATTATGTGGCATTACACATGTTTGTGTTCTTCATTTTTACACAGAATAAACAATTGAATTAAATTAAATTATATTGTAAAAGTAGCTAGTTTTCATATGTTTTGTTTTGATATTCATGAGTGGCGTAACACGTTCGTGCCTGCAAGGCCCAGAATGCGGGCGGGCCCAGGGATAAGAAGGCCTATTTAGGAGATATTTTTTAATATTTAAGGAACCAACACTACTTGTGTTTGCTAAACACTTTTATAAAGGGGGCCCAAATTAAGGTTTTGTGGGCGCGTCCGCACTCATTTCGTGACGCTACTGTTACTGGTACAATCTTTC